AATCCAAAAGAAACCGAAAGGAAGAGTCATAAAAAATGAACGAATTTGAAAGCGTATGAAAACATCTAGATGAATCTGATGGAATCTAAAAGAATCTGAGGGAAGCTGAGAAAATCTCGAAGGTTCTTGATGCATCTAGAAAAATCTGGAAGAATCTGGAAAATTTTGGAACAGTTTGCAGGGACCTATAAGGATGTGAAACGATGTGAATAGAAATGAAAAATTTGAAAGGACCCACGGTGTCCCTAAAAGAATCTGAAAAAATTAGAAACAACATGAAACAATTCTAAAGCATTAAAAAAAATTTAAAACAATTCAAAAGATTCTGAAAGATAGAATCAAAAAAAATCCAGAAGAACCCGAGAGGAATCTTAAAGAAAATGAAAAAATCTGGACAATCTAAGAGAATCTGAAGGAATCTCGAAGAATTTTGAAGGATTTCAAAGAATCTGGAAGCATCTAGCAGGACCTAGAAGAATCTATAAGCGTTTATAAGCATCTAGAAGAATCTTGAAGAATCTGGACCACTATGTAAGAGTTTGCAGGGACCTGTAAGGATCTGAATCGATCTGAATAGGACTGAAAAATTTAAAAAAACGGATCGGAATGAATCTGAAGCACTCTGATGGAATCTGAATAAATCTAGGAGAATCTGTGAGAATCTGGGAGAATCTCCAAGAATCTCGATGAATGTATAAAAATCTAAAGAATCTAGAAAAATCTGGAGGAGTGTGGAAGAATTTGGAAGAGTCTGCAGTGATCTAAAACGATCTGAATAGAACTAAAAAATTTGAAAGAATCTTGAAGACTCCTAACGGTGTCTTCGACAGAATCCGAAAAACTTCGAAAAAATCTGAAACAATCCTAAACCATCTAAAAATATCTGGAATAATCCGAGAGAATCCGAAAAATTTGAAAGAATCACAAAGAATCCAGAAGAAACCGAAAGAAAGAGTCATAAGAAATGAAAGGATCTGAAAGCGTCTGAAAGAATCTGAAGGAATGTGAAAGAATCTCGAATGCATCTAGAAAAATCTGGAAGAAACTGGAAAAATTTGGAACAGTTTGCAGGAACTTGTAAGGATCTGAAACGATCTGAATAGAAATGAAAAATTTGAAAGTATCTTGAGGATTTCCGACGGTGTCTCTAAAAAAATCTAAAAAAATTCGAAAGAATCTAAAAGAGAAAAACAAAAAGAATCCGAAAGAACCCGAAATGAAGAATCGCAAAAAAAATGAAAAAATTTGAAAAAATCTCGAAGAATTTTTAAGACTTTCGAAGAATCTGGAAGCATCTACAAGAACCTAGAAAAATCTATAAGCGTTTATAAGAATATAGAACAATCTAGAAAAATCTTGAAGAATCTGGACCATTTTGAAAGACGCTGCAGAGGATCTGAAACGATCTAAAAGGTGAAACATTTTTAGAATCTAAAAGAATTGGGAGAGAACTGAAGGAATCTGAAAGAATTCGAGGAAATCTGAGACAATCTAAGAGAAATTGAGAGATTCGGAAAAAAACTGAGAGATTTTCTGAATCTGAAGGAATATGAAGGGATCTGAAGGAATCTGGAAAAATTTGCAACAGTTTGCAGAGACCTGTAAGAATCTGAAACGATGTGAATAGAAATGGAAAGTGAAAGAATCTTGAGGATTCTAGACGGTGTCCCTAAAATAATCTGAAAAAATTAGAAAAAACATGAAACAATTCGAAAGCATTCAAAAACATCCGAAAGGATACAAAGAAAATTCGAAAAAATCTAAAACACAGAATCGGAAAGCATCCACATGAGCCCGAAAGGAAGAATCGTAAAGAAAATGAAAAAATCTGGACAATCTAAGAGAATTTGAAGGAATGTCGAAAAATTTTGTAGAATTTCGAAGAATCTGAGAGACTCTAGAAGAAACTAGAAGAATCTATAAGCGTTTAGAAGAATCTAGACGAATCTTGAAGAATCTGGACCAATCTGAAAGAGGCTGCAGGGATCTGAAGCGATATGAAAAAAATTCAGAGGTTTTGGAAGGATCTGAAACGATCTATAAAAAAGGTGAAAAATTCTGAGAATCTGAAAGAATTGGAAAAAAAACTGAAGGATTCTGAAAGAATCTGAGAGAATTTGGGAGTATCTGAATCGATCTGAATACGACTGATAAATTTGAAAAAACAGACTCGGAAGGAATCTAAAGGACTTTGATAGAATCTAAATAGATCTGAGGAAATCTGTGAGAGTCTGAGAGTATGTCCAAGAATCTCAATGAATCTAAAAAAATGTAAAGAATCTAGAAAAATCTGGAAAAATTTGAACAGTGTGCAGAGACCTGTAAGGATCTGAAACAATCTAAATAGAACTGAAAAATTTGAAAGGATCTTGAGGATTTCTGACAATGTGTCGGAAAGGATCTGAACAAATTCGAAAAAATCTGAAACAATCCGAAACCATTCAATATAATCCGGAATAATCCAAAAAGATCTAAATAAATTCGAATGAATTTGAAAGAGAAAATCAGAAAGAATCCAAAAGAATCCGTGAGAAAGAATGGTAATGAAAATCTCGAAGAATTTTGAATAATCTCGAAAAACCTAGAAAGAATCTGGAACATTCTAGGAGAAGCTATAAGAATCTAACCAGGATCTGAAGTTATCTGGAAAAATTTGAAAAGTTCTGTAATGATCTGAAACGATCTGAAACGTGAAAATTTTCATGAGGTTCTGAGAGAATTGGAAAAAATCTAAAGGAATCTGAAGAAGTCTCAGAAGGAACGTGAAAGAATCCGAGAGAATCTGGAAGAATTTGGAATAACCTACAGGAATCTGAAACGATCTGAACAGAACTAAAAAAATTTAAAGAATCTTAAGGACTTCGAGCGATGTCTTTGAAACAATCTGAAAAACGTCAAAAAGAATCCAAAAGAAACCGAAAGGAGGAGTCGTAAAAATGAAAGATTGTGAAAGCGTCTGAAAGAATCGGGAAAAATCAGAAAGAATCGGAAGGGATCGGAAGGAATCTGTCTGGATTCTAGCAGTCATTCTAGAATATAGAAAAAGAAGAATCTAATAGAATCTTGATAAACTTGCAAGAATCTGAGAGAATTCAAGAGAATATGGATGAATCTAGAAAAGATTGGAAGAATCTGGGATAGTCTGCAGGGATCTGAAAGGATCTAAAACGATCTGGAAAAATTTGAAAGGACCTGAAACGATCTGTAAGGAACTGAAAAACTATGAGGAAATCTAAAAATTTATGGAAAATTTGATATTGATATTTTTCCGGCGAAACGTTGTAAAGGAAGTGTAGTGAAGGATAAACAACAAAAATTAAGACAGATCTTTTCCGAAATTCTTCATATTATGATTAATCGAACACAAATTAGATTTTCTGACAGAACAATATATATTTTCGACTTGCTTAATGTTTGTAAAATTTCAGTTTCAGTACATAGCAAATTACTTACAAGGTTATAACAAAAATAACAAAATTCCCACCGTTCGGTACTTTAACATGTCGATTTATCTCTTCAGAGCACATACGAAACGTTACAACAAAATCCCCAAACGTGATCACTTCAATAAATCGCTTTTCATTCGTGTGTCTTTTGACTTACAAACCTTATTCACCGTTCACAAGTTCCCTTTGAGTCATGTATGAGTTGATATCGGGCAACCCTCTTTGATAAATAATCTTCAAACACTTTGCGTTCAGATCGACTTCATGCAGCCAATCGAAGCTGATATAGCAACATAAATATGTCCCAGGAAGGGACCTAAGGAAGCTAACAGGAAGTACAATTCAATTTCCGTTTAGTTTAGTCCGGTCACTTAGACGACTTGTAAATTCCGGGTCTACACTTGATAACTTATAATTAATGCGTTTAGAGGCGACGAAGTTCCTCAAGCACTGCACGAGTTGCCAACTAAAAACAGCAAAACAACAGCAATTGTGAAATTGCAACAAAAGTTCGACTGGGTACAGTGAATTCTTTAGCAGATGAATGCACTTCGCAAGTTATTGTAGTCAAGTTTTAATTAGACGAGTTTATATTTCGATAAAACGTTACTCGACTGCCTGGCGCTGAGCGCTCGGGAGTCGTTGAAATGTTCATACTTTGTCGGTGTTATATTTCACAAAAAAAATTTAAGAAGTTGGATCCGTGGGGACAACGACGACCTGCATTTGTTTCTTTGTTAACCTGCTTTACGAAAAATAAATTTTTAAAAAAGATGAAAACTGAGAGGCGGCACATGTTCATGATCACGCAGACATTATTGATTTATGCCGTGGCCGTTTTGATATTTTCATTTCATTAATCCTCACCGAATTACAGGTTTACAATAAATCAGTGGTGTAACAAAACAGACTAATGCATATGCACAATTAAATAACTAAATACCATAACTACCGGCCCCTACCCCATTCGGAATAATATTTATATTAATCCGACCAATTTAATCTCCATCCACACAAAGCCCCATTTTTAATTATTCTCATTATTACAATCATTAAATCCCCCTTGTCGCTATAAATCCCCTCGTGACAGTTTTTCCGCAGCCTGAGTGAAAAATAATCGTAGTGCAGACTTTTTATTTAAAATATTTCACGTGGCACGTGTTTGTAAAACGATTCGACGCACCTGTTTAGGCTTAGTGTCATCCTTGCATACGACTCTCTGTCGTTTTCCATTTTCTCCCTATTATTCCGTGCCGGAAAGTCTTTGAAATATGGCAGACCATACCACTGCACATCTAATAAATCTCACGCCGGAGTCATACATCACCGCCTCCGCAGAGCATCCATGAATATTGACATTATTCTGAAATAGTTTTCGGTTGTGGAAGGAATTCTTGACTGCTAAAATGTGACCGGGGGTTTATAATTTTCTGACTGATTTATTAAATGTACATTTAAATTTGTGTCTTGGGGATCGATAGCTCTGATCAAGGCGAACGAGCTCCTCAGTCTTCAGCGTTACAAAACATAATACGTGTGTAATTTTTGTTTCAGGATGTGGTCGCTCCGAGTATGACAGCGTTTCATCAACGAGGAACCAAAGAAGATCAATGGGCAAATACGGGGACTACACCTGCGACGCTCCGTGGGAGCTTATAGAATCCGCTTCCAAAACCATGATGAATAGACAAAACGACAACGTAGATTTCGTCCTGTGGACGGGGTAATTAATAATATTTTAATATCTAAGTGCGGATGCTCTATTAACTTTCAAAGCGAAAAGCGGTGCTTTTACTCTAAATTTCGCTGTCCTTGCTCGTAAACTTTCCATCAAATTAGAATTCAAAACTAGCTCCAACTCTCGAGAACACTTCCAAACATTAAACTTTCAAAATGTCCGAGAATACAAACGTCACAGAATCTAACAATAAAAGAGAAGAGCTACATCTTAAATATGTATCGAGCAATAAAACTAAACACAATTCGACCATAAAACTTTCCAGAGCGTTCAGGACGTTATTTACTCTCCTGATAAAATTCAAACACGTCGGTAGATATGTTTGCGAATTTCATCATAATTAAGGCTCGCACCGCAGAGATCGGATTCCGGACAAAGAGGTTAATTAAATTCTGCAAATTTTGCATTATTAACTATATATATTGCGATGCAGCTGCAATTGCAGTCGAAGCATTTCCGTATATCGCAAGTTTGCGGGAAACGGACTTAGTCTTGCGAATTGTTTATTAATGCCAATTACTGCAGCGGAAGCTTAGTTGCCTATTCTATCAACTGCTGCAGTTCTGTGTATTTGAATAAAGGATGAAGTTACGGAAAGGAGGCGACCGACAAGCTAAGGAGATTCCGTAATTAAAGGAACAAACTTGGCAGGTTTTAGCAGGATAAGGCAAATTATTTCATGATTTGTAGAATTCTACGAATTATAGACGGAAGAGTCCAGTTTCGACACCCCTTATAGTCGTAGGTGAATCATTATGTTAATTCATTGCTTTGAAAGCTATCTCCTCAAATCCTGGCATCCGCGATTGTTTAGCTTGGCGCATTTGTCATAAGAACAAAGCCTTATTAAAATAAACTTAAATCGCAGTGAAACTAAGAGATCTGAAAGAGCCTTATTCCTCAAAGGCGAATTAGCTTCGTAATGCGAAAACTTGAAACCATTTGATATCGAGAGAGAACGTAGAGCTTTCACACGTAATAACAGCCCAAACTTCCTCAACTGCCTCTCCCTATAAATAGAAATAGAAAATCGCCCGTTAAAACTTTAAGCCGTTTAGTAAATCCGTGCGGCTTTTTGGTTATTAGCGAAGAAATTCAATAAGATAGTTAAACGGCTGGGAGAAAGTTCGAAAGCTCCACTAAAATAATTAAAAAATTACCCGGAAAATTTGCATAATTTTCATGGCGTCGTTAAACGACAGCAGAACTTCCTGTTTTAATCAAGTTTCTGCAGAATTTTATTACTTGGGCGGATATTTTGACGAGGTTCATCGGGAACTATTACACTGAGCTTTTTTCTGCGGAATTTTCAAAGTAACAATAATTTCATTCGCCTCGGGTTTGCGTAATTGGGTTTGTGCGCCCAAATTCAGAACCACACTCATCCTGCACTTAACGAAATTATAACTTTTCCAATTTGTGTGTCATGAACGTTATCAACTTTTTTTCAGGGGCGCTGCGAAACGAATTTGGGTCACGTGGATTATCATCAATTATGTCGGGCCGGCTCAAAGCGAGCTAAATTAATTTTGCAATTTTCACGTAGAACTTAACAACTAACAGACTTCGAAAGTTTCACATTCATCAAATCATTTTTTGATTTTATAGACAACCACTTTGAATTTTGTAAGTTGGCCATTTGACATAGTAAAATTCAGTCTTCATCTAATCAAAAAAAAACCGATGAAATCCAAAAGCGGACGTGAGTGGGGTTAGTTTTACCTTTTTGTCCAGATTCCAATGTTTATCTTAAACCCAATTTTTGTCCAATAAAATGAGTGATCAGAAGGAAAGCCGGGTGGGTGGGCGGGGCCATTTTGAATTTTTTTTAAGCATAAATTGGGCCACTTCACGAAAAGTAATTCAATTTTCATCTCATATTAAATAAAAAAATTAGTTGAAAGTTATTTCGACAGAACTTCCCTAGCCCCTAAAGTACAGCCGAACATATACAACTTTGACAATTCTTTTATTCTATCTTTGTAATTAGTTTTTCCATATATTTTTTTTTGATAACGTCATTAACATTTTACCAAGGGCACACATATCAGTTTAGTATTAGAGTTTTGGCACCTTAGGAATCCTCGAAATCTTTGAAATTTAGAAAAGACTTTAAACTTTCACAGAATTTGGAATATTTTCAAAAATTCAGTATAATGTTTAGAATTTCTGGAAAGGAGTAAATTTTGAAATTTCCAGAAATTCCAGATTTTCTAAATACAATAAAAATATCAGCGTTCGGATATGCCAGAATTCAACATTTTCCCCGGTTTTCAAGATTTCTAAATTAATAGACCCCAAGATCATTTAAATTTTTCAAATTTTTGGAATCTCTGAAATCTTTAGAATCTCTGAGATGTATAAGATAATAAGTACGGTGTTCAAGACCCCTAATACTTGTACGATTTATATGAGTCCTTAAGAGTATCTAGCGAATCTTTAGAATTTTCGAAAGGAAGAATCGTAAAGAAAATGAAAAGATTTGGACAATCTAAAAGAATTTGAAGAAATCTCGAAGAATTTTGTAGAATTTCGAAGAATTTGAGAGCATCTAGAAGAATTTAGAAGAATCTATAAGCGTTTATAAGAATCTAGAAGCATCTGGACCAATCTGAAAGAAGCTGCAGGAATCTGAAGCGATATGAAAAAAATTGAGGGGTTTTGCAAGGATCTGAAACGATATAAAAGGTGAAAAATTCTGAGAATCTGAATGAATTGAAAAAAAACTGGAGGAATCTCAGAGAATTTGAGAGAAATTGAGAAATTCGGAAAAAATCTGAAAGATTCGGAAATAATCTGAAAGGACATTGCCTCAATATGAAAGGCCCTGAAGTAATTTGAAGGAATGTGAAGGAATCTGAAGGAATCTGGGGGAATCTGAGACAATCTAATAGAATCTGAGAGAATATCTAAGAATCTGGAAGAATATGAAAAAGTTTTCTGAGATCTGTAAGGATCTGAATCGATCAGAATACGAATGAAAAATTTGAAAAACAGACTTGGAAAGAATCTAGAGTCTATGAGAGTCTGAGAGAATGTCCAAGAATCTCAATGAATCTAAAAAAATATAAATAATCTAGAAAAATCTGGAAAAATCTGGAAAAAGGATCTGAAACGGTCTGAATAGAACTAAAAATTTTAAGGAATCTTAAGGACTTCGAGCGATGTTTTCGCAAGAATCTGAAACACTTCAAAAAGAATCCAAAAGAAACCGAAAAATCAGAAAGAATCGGTAGGGATCGGAAGGAATCTGTCTGGATTCTAGAAGTCTTTCTAGAATCTAGAAAAAGAAGAATCTAATAGAATTTTGATAAACTTGCAAGAATCTGAGAGAATTCGAGAGAATATGGAAGAATCTCGAAAAGACTGGAAGAATCTGGGACAGTCTGCAGGGATCTGAAAGGATCTGAATCGATCTAAATACGAGTGAAAAATTTGAAAAAACAGACTTGGAAAGAATCTAAAGTCTATGAGAGTCTGAGAGAATGTCCAAGAATCTCAATGAATCTAAAAAAATGTAAAGAATCTAGAAAAATCTGGAAAAATCTGGAAAAAGAATCTGAAACGATCTGAATAGAACTAAAAAATTTGGAGGGATCTTAAGGACTTCGAGCGATGTCTTCGCAGGAATCTGAAAAACTTCACAAAAGGTTATTCAATTTTCATCTCATATTTAATAAAAAAATTGGTTGAAAGTTATTTCGACAGAACTTCCCTAGCTCCTGAAGTACAGCCGAACAAATACAAGTTTGAGAATTCTTTTATTTTATCTTTATCAATCAATCAATTTTTCCATATAATTGTTTTTTTGGTAACGTCATTAACATTTTAACAAAGGTACACATCAGTTTAGTATTAATAGATTTCTTAGAGTTTTGGCACCTCTGGAATCCCTGAAATCTTTGAAATTTAGAAAAGATTTTGAACTTTCACAGAATTTGGAATATTTTCAAAAATTCAGTACAAATGTTTAAAATTTCTAGAAACGAGTAAATTTTTTTAATTTCCAGAAGTTCCAGATTTTCTAAATGCAATAAAAATATCAGTCTTCGGATATGCCAGAATTCAACATTTTCCCCAGTTCTCAAGATTTCTAAAATTAATAGACCCCAAGATTATTTAAATTTTTGGAATTTTTGGAATCTCTGAAATCTTTAGAATCTCTGAGATGTATCTTAAGCCCACTTTTTGTCCAATAAAATGGGTGATCAGAAGGACAACCGGGTGGGTGGTCGGGGCCATTTCGAATTTTTTTTGGACCACTTCACATAAGGTAATTCAATTTTCATCTCATATTTAATAAAAAAATTGGTTGAAAGTTATTTCGACAGAACTTCCCTAGCTCCTGAAGTACAGCGAAACAAATAGAACTTTGAGAATTCTTTTATTTTATCTTTATCAAACAATCAATTTTTCCACATATTTTTTTTTTTTTTTGATAACGTAATTAACACATTAGCAAGGGCACACATATCAGTTTACTATTAACAGATTTATTAGAGTTTTGATACCTTAGGAATTCTCAAAATTTTTGAAATTTAGAAAAGACTTTGAACTTTCACAGAATTTGGAATATTTTCAAAAATTCGGTACAATGTTTAGAATTTCTAGAAACGAGTAAATTTTTGAAATTTCTAGAAGTTTCAGATTTTATAAATGGAATAAAAATACCGGTCTTCGGATATGCCAGAATTCAACATTTTCCCCAGTTTTCAAGATTTCTAAAATTAATAGACCCCAAGATTATTTAAATCTTTGAAATTTTTGGAATCTCTGAAACCTTTAGAATCTCTGAGATGTATAAGATAATAATTAGGGTGTTCAAGACCCTTAATACTTGTAGGATTTATAAAAATTAAAGGAAGCATTCTTCAGATTTTTACGTTTTTTTTGAATTTAAGGTTTTTTTGTTTTGTTGAGAGTCTTTGGAGTCTTTAAAATTTTTGTCAGGTTAAAAGTTCATGCGTTTTTTTACAAATTATAGA